ACACACACACACACAGGCACGCACCGGGCGCATTGAAGTGCTCCATGGCCTGGTGGCGCTGCTGGGCGGGGGTGGAGCCGTCGAGGCGCTGGTGCTGGAAGCCGCGCAGGCGCATGTAGTCTGCGGTGTGTGTGTGTGTGTGGTGTGTGTGTGTGTGTGCATGTGTGTGTTGGGTACGTGCGTGAGAGCGGTGAGTGGGCGGCGGGCCAGCAGGCGAGATCCACACACCAGGCAGCCCATGCGGCCCATGCAAGCTGTCGTGAGCTGGTGGGGTGTGGAGGCAGGCGCCGGGGCCAGGTATATGCCCGCTCACCGCTGATGATGTCCAGCACCCGCACCATCTGGCTGAACACCAGCACCCTGCAGGCGGCGCGGTTCCGCACGGCGTGGAACAAAACAGACTGAAGCCGCTGCTGCGGAGCGCCGGGAGGGCGGGCTGGCCCACAGGGCAGCACACATGCGGTGCGGCGGCTAGGGGGCCTGCCTTGACCTCTGCTCGCAGCCCCCCACTGTCTCCTCACCCTCCGCATGCCCGGCCCTGCACCTCCGACCCACCCCGTCCCACCCCCTGGCCCGCGCCCACCTGTGCCCCGTCACCGCCAGGCGCCGCAGCAGCTTGTCCAGGAGCACCATCTTGCCGCTGGTGACCACGAGGCGTGTGGCCACATCATCATCGCCCCCCGCACGCAGCCGGTACTCCTCCTGCACAAGGAAAGGAAGAAAAGAAAGCAGGGAAAAGAAATAAACGGCGAGAGTGCACGCGCAGGGATGAGGCAAGCCAAGGGCGTCAGGCGGTACTACGGTACCGGCGTGGGTGGTGCCCCACCTCTGCCGACTGGAACAGAAACCTGCGCAGGGGGAGGGGTGGGCGGGCAGCAAGGTGAGTGGGGCAGCGCTCACAGGTTCCCTCTCTCCAGCAGACACGTTCATTGGTCGACACGCGGCACCAGGATCAAGACAAGAGCAGCCAGCCGGCGACAGCTGGCAGGCAGAACGTGCAGGCTGGCATGCAGGGCGGGCAGGGCAGCAGCGCAGGCGGCTCACGGGTGGTTGCAGCACTTCTTCAGCTCCGTGATGATGTTGAGCAGGCTGAGCTGGGAGCGGGCACCCTGCAGGCAGGCGCGGCAGGCAAGGCGCCCTTCCACCCCTTGATGCCTGCGGGTGCCGCCA